CATCATCATCAGCATCATCAGCAGCAGAATCATCCTCCTCATCCTCCTCCTCATCATCATAAGTATCATCATCAGCAGCCTCATCATCAGAATCATTAGCATCATCATCATCCTCTTCCTCTTCCTCTTGCTTCTCCTCCTCCTCAGCAGCAGCAGCAGACAGGAGCAACAGCAACATCAGCAGCAGCAGCATCAGCATCATCGTCATAATCACCATCAACACCAGACCACCACCAGGACAACCATCATCGCCATCATCGCCATCATCATCATTATCACAATCATCAGCAGCAGCATCATCAGCATCGTCATTGTCAACATCATCATCATCGTCGTCGACATCATCAGCAGCATCATCACCATTACCATCCACCCATCATCATCACCACCATTATCATCATCAGCATCATCATCATTACCATCCTCATCCACATGATCATCATCACCATCGTCATCATCAGCAGCATCACCATCACCCTCCTCCTAATGGGGGGGGAAAACCTCATCTTCATCGTGTGCACGTGTATCATTATCCTTACAGTTTCCTAACTCATCATGAATATCATCACCGTTGACATCATCATACGCATCGCCATCATCGCCAGCAACATCATCAATACTAGCACCACCATCATCATCATCATCACCATCATCCGTAGCATCATCATCAACATGTTCATCATCATCATCATCAGCATCATCATCATCATCACCATCATCCGCAGCATCGTCATCATCATCGTCAGCAGCAGCATCAGCATCATAATCATCATCATTATCATCATCGTCATCATCAGCATCAGCATCAGTATCAGTATCATCATCAGCACCATCATCAACATCATCATCAGCATCATCATAATCATCATAGTCATCATCATCAGCAGCATCATCATCGTCATCGTCATCGTCATCGTCTTCGTCGTCGTCGTTATCGTCACCATCATCATCACCATCGTCCTTGTCATCACCCTCACTGCCATCCTCGTCACCACCATCACCATCGAACTCAGCGTCAGCATCATCACCATCAGCATCATACGCATCATCGGCTGCATCGTCACCGTCACCATCAACTCACCAGCATCAACCCATCACTATCAGCATCACCACCAACCCGTCCACGTGTCCCCCCCCGAGGGCGCGCCGGCCCGCCTGGCCCCTGCGGCAGGGCGGGCAGCAGGAGCTTCGGCGAGGCGGCGGGCGGCGGATGGCCGCGGGCCCCCGCCGAGGGCTGACGTGAGTCGAGGATCGAGGATCGATGCTCGACCGATCGAAGATCGATCGATCGAAGATCGATCGATTGAGGATCGCATCCCTCTCCTTCTCCTCCTCCGCATCCTCACCATCACCGTCACCATCACCCTCGTCATCAAGATCACCATCACCATCATCATATCATTCCTACTCTCTGTTAGTATAACCCCCCAGACCTGACGCCCTGATAGCGGCACCAAGCGGGCTCCGACCTGTCAAAGCGCCAGATCAGCTCGAAGTTTTGAACATGGGCGTTCTGTGTCGATGTTGCAAGTTGTGCGGCAGGAGTAGGACGCGGAGCACACCGCGCGCGACAGCCCTAAAATGCTGCTCTCGCCCGAGCGCCGCGCCTACTTATCTTGCCTATTGAGCTCCCGCGTGGGTGTGGCACGCGCTTCTTGCGCGCAGAATCGTCGGAATCGGGGCCGAAGGCAAGAGCCAAAGGCCGCTCTCGCTCTAAACACCACGCAGACTGCTCCTGAAAGTTGCCTTCCAGCCTGTGCGCGGCGCACGCCGCGCGACAGCGAGCGTAGTGCCAGTTTCGTCCCAAAGCCCAAGAGGTCGCCCAAAGTTGCGTTCCAGCCTGGGCGCGAGCTGAGTGATGATTTGTGCTCTCCGCCTGCTGCTAGGGGCACGGGAGAGATGTGCACAGGCGACGATGTACTGCGTCATCTACCCGATACGGTGCTGCACAGGCACGGCCACGGGGCTTGCCGCGAGCGGCTGCTTCCTGCCACTTGCATGTGCGCGCGTGTGTGTGAATATATGCACCGGCACATGCACACAAAAACGCACGCACACGTGCTTGACAGCATACGGGCGTGCACACATGCGGACTGGCGCACGCACCCAAAGTATCCACAGCATGAGGAACATAAGCATGCATCGAAACAGGGAGAAGCGATAGCGATAGGGAGGGGGGGAATGAGAGAAAGAGAGAGAGAGGAAGCGGGGCACAACGAGAGAGAAAGAGAGGGCGATGGATGCGCTCGCATGTATATATCGATGTGTATATATGTGTGCGCACATACATACATGTAGTGCAAGCAGGTTGCACACGCTCACATCAACGCAAGTTTTATATACACGTACGCGCGTACAGGCGTACGCACGTACGCACATGCAAATTTACAAGGATACACGTGTAGGTAAGGACGTGCAGAACAATGCATACGTATAGTCGTACACAGGCCCGTGCACACGTATTAGTTGAAATACACACAACACACATGCATGAGCATAGTGGAAACGTACGCTGGACATGAGAAGCAACAGAGGGAAGCGAAAGAGAGAAAGAGAGAAAGAGAGAGGAAAAAACATAATGGTAAAGACAGTAAGAAAGAGAGAGGAGCAAAAGAGAGAGAGAGAGAGAGAGAAAACAAAAAAAAAAAAAAAAAAAAAAAAAAAGATACTGAACAACATAAAGGAGAGGAGAGGAGAGGAGACGAGTCTGGAGGAGGGAAGGCGGGAGGGAGGGGAGAAAAAAGAGATGGCAGAGGGAGGGAGGGAGAGGAGAGGAAAGGGGGAAGAGGGAGCTGAGGGTAATGGAAGGGGCGGCGGGGGAGAAGGCGGGAACCAAAGAAATCAGGGAGAGGGGAAGAGGGAGGAAGGAAACGGGAGAAAAAGGGAAAGGAAGAGGGCAAGGAAGAGGAGTAGGAGGAGGAGGACGAGGACGAGGACGAGGAGGAGGAGGAGGAGGAGGACAAGGACGAGGAGGAGGAGGAGGAGGAGGAGGACGAGGACGAGGACGAGGAGGAGGAGGACGAGGAGGAATCGGAGCCTTGGTCCGAGGCCTCCCCGCAGAGGGCGAGGCATCGGCAGTGCGGACCTGAGACGGCGAGGGGGCTGGGCGCGCCCTCGGGACGCAGGCGTGCGCCCTCCCGCTCAGCATCCGCGCGGGGCACACGAAGGCCGCCGTGGGTTCGCAGACAACCCTGGGGGGTCAGATGCGAACCCTACCCCTACCCCCCACGATTTCTGAGGGGGAGGGTGGGGTTCACCCTCCCGAGCGAAGTGAACCGAGCGAAGTGAACCCCACCCTCCCCCTCAGAAATCGTAGGGGGTGGGGGTAGGGTTCGCATCCGGCCCCTAGACAACCCTGGGGGGAGACAACGGGTCGGACTGCACATGGCGATGTGGGCCGGCGAGGCCGGAAGGGATCCCGTGGGAAGCAAAACGATGACCACAATCCCCACTGGTGTGGGGAGCCGTGCCAAGAAGAGACGGAAGGTCGGTGGAGTCGCACCCGCGTGGCAGAGGCTGCGCTGCGGGCGCGCATGCATTGTAGCTGTCACGGTGGACCCAAGGTTGAGCCGCTGGATTGAGCTGTGGTCGATGGCCTCACTGGTGGGCTCCTGGGCTGTGGGTGTACTCTACGCAAGGGCCGCAAGGGTGGCACCCAAGTAGGCGCGGGTCTCACCCAGGGCCAGTTTCCAGGGCGCACTGGCGGCCCGTGGCGCACTGGGCGGCACACACTTTTTTCCGTGATGCGCCAGTGAGGTCCAACCAGTTGTAGCACCAACCACAGGCAGTGGAACGATAATTTTCCACGATTGTGGAAGCGGGGCGAAAGCTGAATGAAGATCCCGAAGCGAGAAGTGCATATAGCCGACCGCAGGGCAAAAAATGCAAGGCGGGTGCAGGGCAGGAAGGCAAAGCAGAGGCAGCCGAGAAAAAAGAGTGCCGCCAACCATGGAAGCCACCACGCGGCACGCACGAGACTGCGAGGAAGTGCACAAGGTACTGAAGAGGAAGCTTGCCTCGTAGATCTTCGCGGCCAAGAGGTGGCGCCAGAGGCTCGCCCGGGGGATCGAGCCCTGCCCCCCCCCCAGTCATGACCACCCTCTTGGATGGCCCCGATCGTCCAGGCCCGACCTCACATCCCCGGGGATCTCTCTTTTCCAGTGGGGAGGAAGAAGAGGAGGAGGAGGAGGAGGAGGAGGAGGAGGAGGAGGAGGAGGAGGAGGAGGAGGAAGCAGGAGCAGGAGGAGGAGGAGGGGTGAGGAGGGGGAGGAGGAGGAGGAGGAGGCGAGGGAGGAGGGAGGAGGAGGAGGAGGAGGAGGAGAGAGGAGGAGGAGGAGAGGAGGAGGGAGGGAGGAGGAGGCGGATGGAGGCGGGGGAGGAGGAGGGGGAGGGAGGGGAGGAGGGGGAGGGGGCGGCGCGCTTCCCGCGGGCGCCGGCAGCGGGCTGGCCGGGCCGGTGGGGGTAAGGAGGAGGAGGAGGAGGAGGAGGAGGAGGAGGCTGAGGAGGAGGCGGAGGCGGGGAGGAGGGCTAGGCGGAGGTAGGAGGAGGGCGGAGGCGGGGAGAGCGAGGAGGGGGAGGGGGGGAGGAGGAGGAGGAGGGGGAGGGGGAGGAGGAGGAGGGAGCGGAGGGAGGAGGAGGAGGAGAGGCGGAGGAGGCGGAGGAGGGAGGAGGAGGAGGCGGAGGAGGAGGAGGAGGAGGAGGAGGAGCAGGAGGAGGAGGAGGAGGAGGAGCGAGGAGGACGGAGGAGGAGGGAGGAGGAGGAGGGAGGAGGAGGAGGAGGAGGAGGAGGAGGAGGAGGAGGAGGATGAGTAGGAGGAGGAGGAGGAGGAGGAGGAGGGGGAGGGGGAGGTCGGCAGCGGCAGCACATGGTACCCGATGATGTCCTGGCGCTGGGTGTTCCTGTCGCCAGTGCGCAGCGTGGCCCGGTGCGTGCGGCGCTCAGCGTGCGGAGAGGCCGAGGCGGTGCGCGGTGTGGCACACGGGGGCTGCAGAGAGGCGGGTCAGCAGCGCGAGGGACCTGACGATCGTCGGGTGGAAGACGCCCAGGCTCGAGGAGTCGCAGGCCTGGAGGTTGGCAGCAACACCAGCATCGGCGGTATGCCTCTAGCGGGGGGGAGAAGGTCCCGACCTCGGTGATGGTGGTGATAGTCTGACTTCCAGGGTGACCGAAACAGTACCACCAACACCGAAACCTAGGATCAGCTTACCCCTGTGGAGGCAACCCCCTATGTTGGTGTTGGTGCCCATTTCCAAGCCTCCAAAGGAGGCGCTGGGGATCTGCGTGCGGAGGCATCGGTCGGGAACGTCTGCTCAGCGTGTCGCGGCGGCGACCCCGGCGGCACGCTCTGCCTGGCAGTCGGATGACGTGTCGCTCCGAGGGGGTCGGGATGGCCGGCGCGACCGCGAGGGCCGACAGGATCAGTAGGAGCCTCGGCAGGAGGTACTGGACGGCTCTCAGGACGACCAGCACCAAGTGCCAGAGGACGAGCTGTCACGATTCGAGCCTCTGGCTCCCGCGGCTGGCCTGAGAGAGGCGAGGGCGCTGCGCAGCTCGCCCGCGACTCCGACGACCAGGCAGAGGAGGTCCTGGCGAGAGAGAGCTCTGTTTCTCCACCCCCACCCCCCCACCCCCCAAAAAAACGACCATATGTTGCATCCTCGGGGGACCTTGTCGGTCCCGTCGCGGCCCTATCCGCGTCGAATCCGTGTCGAATCCGTGTCGGACTCGTCGGATCCGTGTCGAAACCGTGTCGAATCCGCGTCGGATTCGCGCCAAATCCGCGCCGAGTCCGCATCGAGCCCGCGTCGGGCACAAAAAAAGACACCAATTTGGGGAACAGGCGAGGCCCCCCGAAGATGCAACGTAAACGATGGTGTGTGCTCTGTCCGAGGCAGCACGCGGTGCCGCAGCGCGCCCGCACGGCGCGCCCGCGCCTCCCGCACACGGCGCCGCCGACGGGGCCGACGCCCCTCGCGAGGGGAGCGGTCGGAGGGTTCGGCGGGGAGGGCGGCCTGCGGCAGGAGGGCTCGGCGAGGGGACCCCCTTTATGGGGGCCCCTGGAGACACAAATAAACACACACAAATAAAAATAGTTCCCATACTTTCCTATATTTTCTGGGTTCTTGTCTTCCCCCCCACTTCCCATATTTTCTCATATTTTCCTGGGAATCGACGATTGATTGTGTCTGTGTGTTTTTCCCCCTCCTGACCCTACTGAGCATCGTTGAACCGATCCCCATCCCCAGCGGCGCGGCCTGGGCCCCACGGGCCGATTTACCCCCCCCCCCCAGATGGGGATATGGGCCGCTCCCGTCGGGCTTCGAGGGGCGCATCCCCCACTGAGGGGTATGATCTGGTGGGGGTCTCGAAGGGGACGCGGGGATGGGGACGGGGGTCGGCGAAACGATAACCGAGGTTCGGCGAGGGGCCCCCCACGGCGGCGTCGACGGGAACGCCCGGGGGGGTCGGAGGGCGGGCTCTCGCGCGGCGGGGCGGGGACGCGGCCGGCGCCGAGGCGAGAGCGTCCTCCCCTGGGGGCCACCACCGTCGCGCTCCGCGCGAAGCGCGAAGCGCGAAAAGCGCCGTCCTCCTCGCGCTGTCGCGCCGCGCCCCTCTCCCCCCCGCGGAGAGGGCGGAGGGCTCGCGCCCCGCTCCGACGTGGCCGCGAAGCGGGAGGCGCGACGAGCTTCGCGCCCCCGTGCTGGCCCCCGCCGCCGTCGGCACGGACGGTTTGGCGGCGCGAGCGGAGCAGGATGAAGTCGGGCCTGCTCCCCCTACAGGGGGGATCTTCGACGAAACATAAGATATACCCAAGAGATACTCCAGAAATGCTAGAAAATGTTCAAAAATGGTCCCCTGACTATCTTTTAACTGTTTCTGCATATTCCCCCTGTAGAGGGACAGGCCCGACTTAAGAGCAGGAGGGAGCCTCGAGAGCGCGAGGAGCGCGAGGAGAGAAGAAAGCATCCCAGGGCGGAGCGGGGCCCCGTCCTGCACGTCGTCGGGGGAGGGGGAAGGGGGCGGTGGGGGCGCACATTCTCACGGGAGGGGCACCTGCACAGGGAAGAGGGAGGAAAGGAAAAGGGGGAGCAGAGGGCAGAGAGCGCCGAAGGGAGACGAGAGGGGGGAGGCAGAGAGAGAGAGAGAGATAGAGAGGCAGAGAGAGAGAGAGACAGAGGCGAGGCGACGGGCGCTGGCAGAGTCGAGGATGCCCATGCGAGGCGGGAATCTTTCCACATCCCCAGCGGGCGGTGGATATGGATATACGTTGGCCCCCGGGGGCCCGAATAGATCCACATCCACTGCCGGTGAAGTCCGCGAGGATCGATCCCCCAGGCGGTGGCTATGGGTAAATCCCCGCCTCGGAGCTCAGTGGAGATGGAATGTGCGCCTGAAGCCCCCCCGCATCATCACGGCTGCCCAGACGGTATCGGCACGCAGCGCGACGGCCTTCACGGCAGTCGGCCTCGCCCTCGTCGCCGTCGTCAAACGCAACTCGGCATCGCCCTCGTCGCCGTCGTCAAACGCAATCGCTGTCGACGCGATCATCGTCGGCACGGCCGTCCCCTTCACATCATCCTCGCACTCCGTGCCCCCCCCCCCGCGAGGGGAGAGTCTATCCATATCCACCGCCCGTGGAACCAACGTCCTGGGACCCCAGCGGGCGGTGCACATGGATATATTCGGGCCACAGGGGCCCCGAATACATCCATATCCACCGCCTGTCGAGGTCTCCGAGAATCGGTCCTCCAGGCGGTGGTTATGCATAAATCCCCGACTCGGACCCCCAAACCCGTGCTCCAGGATCAGCTTCTCGCAGGCGTCCAGGTCCTCCACCTCGGCCCCTCCCGCGCGCCTCTGCGACAGCCACCCCAGTATCCAGGGGGAACAGCAGGAGGACGAGACATCCGACAGCCGACACCCCGAGTAAGAAGAAGATAAAGGGCGAGGAGGACGAGAGGAAAAAGAGGAGCAAGCTGAGGCGACCCCTGTTAAATCATGGAAAACATCAACACGATGAACGAGAGAGCGCGCCCACAGCGCCGGAGCAAAGGGGGGGGTCCCCCCTTAGCTATCCCCCACCTCCCTTCCACCTCCCATGCTGGAAGCTCCCCCCCCTCCCCCCTGAAGCTACCCCCCCCCCTCCTATCCCCCCCCCTCTTTCCAAAGGGAGGGGGGCTTAGCTACCCCTCTCCTCCCCTTGACCCCCCTCTGCCGGAAGCTCTTCCCCTCCCTTCCCTCCTTTGGTTCCAAGGGGGGGGGGGGGAGCTTAGCAGCCACCCCCCCCTCCTTCCCCTTTTCGGCACCCAGGAAGCTACCCCCCCCTTCCCCCCCTTACGAAGGGAGGGAGGGCTTAGCTACCCCCCCCCCTTGACCCCCCTCTGCCGGAAGCTACCCCCCCCTCCTCCCCTATGGTTCCAAAGGGGGGGGGCTTAGCAGCGCCCCCCCAACCCCCCTTTCGGCACCCGGGAAGATACCCCCCCCCCTCCTCCCCTTACGAAACGGAAGGGGTGCTTAGCTCCCCCCACCTCCTTTGACCCCCCTCTGCGGGAAGCCCCCCCCTCCCTTCCCTCCATGTTTCTTCCCCCTGCCAGAAGCTACCCTCCCCCCTTTAGCTACCACCCCCCTCCCTTGAACTCCCCCTGCCAGACGATCCTGCCCAGTCGCCGTCGTCGCTGCCGTCGCCGTCGCTCGACGTCTTCGTACGACGCCGTCGCCGTCCTCGTCGTCGTTGTCGCCGCCGTCGCCGTCATTGTCGCCGTCTTCGTATGACCTCGTCGCGATCGACGCGACGAGGGCGAGGTCATGCGAAGACGGCGACGGACGACGGACGACGCGCGACCGACGACCGACAACGACAACGACACAGGGTCAGAGAAAACGAGACCACGACCCAGGGGCTGAGAAAACGAGGAAACGAAGCAGGGTCCGAGAAAACGAGACCACGGCCCAGGGGCCGAGAAAACGAGAAAGCGAGAAAATGAACCAGGGCCAAAAAAAAACGGACCAGGGTCCGAGAAAGCGAGACCACGACCCAGGGGCAGAGAAAACGCGAAAACGAACCAGGGTCCGATAAAACGTGACCACGACCCAGGGGCCGACAAAACGAGACAACAAGAAAACAAACCAGTGCCCGAGAAAACGAAACCACGACCTAGGGGCCGAGAAAACGAGACAACGAGAACACGAACCAGGGCCCGAGAAAGCGATAACACAACCCAAGGGCTGAGAAAACAAGAAAACAAGACCGCGACCCAAGGCCCGAGAAAACGAAACAGAAACCCAGAAGCCGAGAAAACGAGAAAACGAGACAATGAACCAGGGTCCGAGAAAACGAGATAACGACCCAGGGGCCGAGAACACGAGAAAACGAGAAAACAAATCAAGGCCCGAGCAAACGAGAAAACGAACCATGGCCGAGAAAACGCGAATATCGGTCCTAGAAAACGAGACCAAGACCCAGGGGCCGACAAAACGAGACAACGAGAAAACGAAACGGGGTCCAAGAAAACGAGACCACGACCAAGGGGCAGAGAAAACGCGAAAACAAGAAAACGAACCAAAGTCCGACCAAACGAGACCATGACCCAAGGGCACAGAAAACGCGAAAACAAACCAGGGACCGAGAAAACAAGACCACGAACCAGGGGGCGATAAAACAAGAAACCAAGGCAACGAATCAGGGTAAGAGAAAACGAGACCACGATCCCGGGGCCGAGAAAACGAGAAAACAAGGCAACAAAACCAGGGGCCGAAGAAACGACACAAAAACCGAGGGGCTGAGAAAACGAGAAAACGAGAAAACGAACCAGCGCCAGAGAAACCGAGACCACGACCCAGGGGCCGAGACAACCAGAAAACGACAAAACGAACCAAGGTCAGAGAAAACAAAACCACAATCCAGAGGCCGAGAAACGGAGAACACGAGAAACCGAACCAAAGTCCGAGAATAGGGACCACGATCCAGGGGCCGAGAAAACAAAAAACGAACCAGGGTAAGAGAAAACGAGACCACGACCCAGGGGCCGAGAACACGAGAAAACGAGAAAACTAGCAAGGGTCCGAGGAAAAATGGCACCACGACCCAGGGGCCGAGAAAACAAGAAAACGAGATCACGAACCAGGGCCTGAAAAAACAACATTAAAAACAACAAAAAAAAAAAAATGCGAAAACGACACAACGAACGAAAACGAGACCACGACCCAGGGGCCGAGAACACGAGAAACCGAGAAAACGAACCAAAGTCCGAGCAAACGAGACCACGACCCAAGGGCACAGAAAACACGAAAACGAACCAGGGTCCGAGAAAACACGACCACGACCCAGGGACCGAGAAAAAGAAACAACGATCAAAGGAATCAGGGCCCGAGAAAAAGAGACTACGAACCAGGGGCCGAGAAAACAAGAAAACGAAAAAACGAACCGGAACAGAGAAAACGAGACCACGACCCAAGGGCCGAGAAAACGAAAAAACGAACCAGGGTCCGAGGAAACCACGACCCAAGGGCCGAGATCACCAGAAAACGCGTGGTTCGAGAAAACGAGACCACGACCCAGGAGCCGAGAAAACGAGCAAACGAGAAACGAAGCAGGGTCAGAGAAAACGAGACCACCACCCGGGGGCCGAGGAAAACGAGAATACTAACCAGCGTCCGACAAAACAAAACCACGACCCAGGGGCCGAGGAAACAACAAAACGAGAAAACTAACCAGGGCCCGAGAAAACTGGACCACGACCCAGGCGCCGAGAAAACGAGAAAACGAGAACACGAACCAGGGTCAGAGAAAACAAGACCGCGACCCAGGAGCCGAAAACACGAGAAAACAAGAAAACAAACCAGGGGCCGAGAAAACGAGAAACGATAAAAGGAATCAGGGCCCGAGAAAACGAGACTACGAACCAGGGGCCGAGAGAACAAGAAAAGAAGCAAACGAACCAGGGATCGACGTTATTCTCCAATGCGTTCTCTAGCGCCGCGGTGCGCACCTGTCGTCAGGAATTCCGCCATTTTGCCAGAGCCCCGGAAGGGAGGGGGGGGAGGTAGCTTCGGAAGCCCCCCCCCCCTTTGCAAGGAGGGGGGAAGGGGGTAGCTTGAAGCCGCCCCCCCCCTGTCGCCCCCGAAGCCCCCCCCCCTGTAGCCAGGGCCCCCCTAGCTTAGAAGCCCTTATAGAAGGAAGGGGGAGGGGGGTAGCTTCGGAAGCTCCCCCCCCTTTTGGAAGGGAGGGGGGGGGGAGGTAGCTTGAAGCTGGGGCCCCCCTTTCCGTATTCCCGGCGCTGCCGGCGCGCTCTTTCCGATGTACGACCACCGATGGGCCACGCCACGACCACCGATGGGCCAACATCACGAATCACCTCCCTCCGACGTCCATCCTGGTCCGACACAGACTGGGCAGACTCGCAGCAAGTTGCGTTCGATCGTACTGCTTACTGCGAGCATCGTGGATGATTACGTCATGATGCCCGTCGCGCACAATCGCAGAAGTTGCCATCCCCTAGGGGGCTGGCAAGGCAGCTCAGGAGGCCGCAGGGAGCCCGGTTCTACTGAGGCCACCCCCTCTAGCATAAGTCAAGTTTTTTTTTGCCGATGGGGGCATTCAACTGTATTGGTGAAAAGCCTGGCAACAGCAGCAGCGTCACTGAATGACAACCGAGTTGGGGATCGACAACCGAATTTATGTACCACAATTGTTTCGTCGAGCCTACGAAAAATGCGTAGAATGCTCCGCAGATCGACGGAGCACTCGACGGAAAAAAGCAACATTGGGGTAAATCAATTAAGTATGAAGGGGCCCTGGTACACACAAATAAATACACACAAATAAAAGGATTCTCAATATTTCCCCATATTTTCTGGGTTTTTTTGTCTTCCCCCCCACTTCCCATATTTTCCCATATTTTCTGTGGAATCGACGATTAATTGTGTCTGTGTGTTTTTTCCCCTCCTGAAAGTAGTCGATCTCCTACTCGAATCAGGGAGGAAGTACTCATCCTCTCTCACCAGATTACGATCCAAGTGAAGGACGCATGGCCACCCCAGTCACTCAAAACCCAATGGCGCAGCGGCTAGTCTTGGGAGTGGAGGGCGCTGCAGCCGTGTGACAGAACAAGCTGCACACGGGCTTGCTAGAGCCTCGGGAATATGTGTCCTAACGCGACACCTTTGCCCCGAGAACACCCGCAAGACAAATGCATCCTGTTGCGCCCCGGCCACATGCACGCTGCTGCGCACCAGCCTCATACATCCTGGTGCGGACCAGCCACAAAAATCGATCGCCTTCGGAGAAGGCGGCGCGGGGAAGCCCAAAAAGTATGGGCTGCGCACGATCCCGAAAACAAAAAACCAGGAATACTTCGAGAGCAAATACGCTCAAAATCACTAACTTGTAAAGAAAGCATCCCCGCCCCGTAAAGTTCGAACTACAGGACACCCTGCGGGAGGGGGCCCCTGGATCGGCCGGTCCTTCAATCTCACTCTATGAAGGAGAATGGATGGAGCCTGGTTTGGAGCGTTTCGCTTGAGATGTCCTCAGGATTTGCCTGGTTTGGCCCCTAGTGTTGCCTGGTTTGGCATGATTCGGTTTGATCTGGCTGGGCGCCCCGCCTGCAGCATCCTCACAATTTGCCTGGTTTGGCCCCTGGTTCGGCCAGGTGTGGTCCCAGTTTCGCTTCAGACGACCTCACAATTTGCTCGGTTTGGTTTGATGTCGGCGCGGTTTCGCTTGAGACGTCCTCACAAGTTGCCTGGTATGGCTTGGTTCCGGCATGGTTTCGCTTGAGACGTCATCGCAAACAACGTCGCTAGCTACGTGACGTAAGCTATGTGGTACAACAAGG